GCAGCTGATGTGGCTTGCACGTGCAGGCTGAACAAGGTGTAGGTAGCCCCCCCCCCCCCCCCGGCACCGCTTTCCGGCAGAGACATGGCTTCCGTCGCTGAGGCTGAGTCTGATGGCTCCGAACTGGCATTAGACTTCAAGGACGGAGACGTTTCAGTCCTATGCAAGCAAAGTCCAGTGCTGGAGATGTCCTTTCAAAGAGGTTTCTTGGTCACTCAGGCTTACTTTGTCCGTGCCTTGGCTACTTGCATCGACGAAGGTGTTGATGAGCACATGAAACTTTTGTACGAGGCGCAGTTTGACCCAGTGGCGATTGGCAACTTCGCTCGGTGGGCCGTCTATGATGGAAACGGTGCACCGGCTGAAACCACATCCGATGTGCAGAAGTTTGCTACAGCATGGCTTTCCCGAGAGATACGAGTAGTGCAGCCTGACCAGATAGATAGCGATGACACGGAGTTGCTCCTGGCAAAGGCTAGTGGAGACACTTCTAGCGAGGAGTATTTCCGTGGTTTATGAGCAGTGTGTGCACGCATTGGCAGCATGGTCGGAAGACTCGTAAGCGACGCCGAGCAAAATTGCTGTGGTCGCTGTGTGCTATGTGTGTCGGTACATGATGGAATGAAGTTGTGGCTGAACGTGGCTGCTGATAGAGTTTTATTTAAGTCTATCACGCACATGTTAGCAGGTCGCCGAGGAGTGTCGGCCGGTTTCCCTTCTACTGGCCATCGTGCTTTGGGTGTGTTGTGTGGAGGGGGGGTTGATGCATGAAAGGTAGGAACAGTATGATGACCAAGACAAGGACAGACAGGCAGACAGGCGGGCAGGTCGACAAGCATGCCTTTCCGGACACATGAACACGCGGTAAAGCCTGCCTATGCACATGCGCAGCTGCAACAAGGAACCTACAGGCCTCGAACACCCCCCAGTTCACGATCCCAATCGAAAGGTTCTGTGAACTTTGCATACATCCTAGACCCTAAACCCTAAACCCTCAACCTCTAAATCCTAAACCCTAAACTAGAAGGAGATCTACAGGGTTTAGGCTCAGAGTTGTTTTTTTTCAGCTTAGAGAGAAAGTATATATATATGTATATATATATATGTATATATATATATATACACATACATACACATATAAATATGTCTAAACCCTAAACCCTTAGCCCCAAACCCTAAACAATGTAAATACAATATCAGTCAGTCATAGCTGGGAGCTCTGCACCCGAAAGCTTTGCGGGCATGAGCCCTAAACCCTAAAACTCTAGAGCCCTAAAGCCCGACCTGCCACACCTCCGGGTGAGGGTTTTGGGTTTGGGGTTTGGGGGTTTTGGGGTTTTGGGTTTAGGGTGAAGGGTTCAGGGTTTCTTTATTGTTTAGGGTGTTGAGTTAAGGGGTTTGGGTTTTGGGGTTTAGGGTTTAGGGTTTTAGGGTTTTGGGGTTTTGGGTGTAGGGTTTTGGGTGTAGGTTTTTGGGTTTAGGGTTTCGGGGGGTTTTGGGGGATTTGGGTGAGAGGTGCTTTCTCAGCGGAAGACATCCGCAAGCTTTTCGTCGCGGCGGACTCCTCGGGCCAGGGCAACGTGAGCAGCCAGGACGTCGCAGAGTTCTGTTCCAAGGGTTTGGGGTGTGCGGTCTGCGCAGGCAAGCTGAAAAAGTATCTTTGTTTGGGGCGCAGAGAATCCTACAATATGCAACTGATCAACTTTGACCGACCCAGAATGACTAGAAAGTAGGCGGAACGTCTACGACGGACTGTTTAGGATGTTTAGGTGCGAGAGACTGCGGTTTCCACGTCGAGATGCTTAACTGCTGGCTTGTGTTTAAACAGTGTCGTGTTGTGACTTGCATATGCTTACATTGCCAGTTGATGCAACATTTAGCGGTCTTGTCCTACTGTACCCGGACCAGGGCCCCACATAACTAGACGTAGTTTTTAGAATGACAGCCCAGATACCGAGGAGTAGAACGATGTTGAAGATGACTATGATGACACATGATGACAATGGTAGCTGCGCCGACGATGATCATTGTGTTGATGTGCTCTTGGGTTTTAGCTTGCAGCTTTGTGCTTTGACTGCAGAAGCTCGAAAATCAAGTGCCGATGTAATATAGCGGCCCAAATAATTACCAATACTATTTCCGGGGTTCCTTTCTTTGTAGTTATACTATAATATATACCCCAAAACCCTATTCTAATTTTAAGGCCCCTATCAGGCTGGGCCGCCCGGAAGCCATGAAGCTTAGCAGTTCCAACTGCCGGCTCGCTAGAACGTAGGTGGTATTCCAGCAAGGCTTTCACTGTCCCTAACCCTCCAGGTACCTACTATATAGGGTACTAGAGCCCCTAGGGCCCTATATAGGAGGTACCTGG